CCATGCTCATAACTGATCAGGGGATCAAAAAGTCATTTCAACAACTTTGTAGCCACCAAACTGGAGACTGGATACCAGAAGGCAGCTGTGCAAAGTTCCAGTGTCCACACCATGCTGACCATCAGAAGAAAGATGCCTCCTATACTAACTCCTTACCCCCAAGTCTGCATAGCAGACATAACTATGTTAGCAAGATCCTAACAGCAAAGGAGTCTGAGGAATGCAGTGTGTAGCACTCCTGCCCCGTAGCTCAAAAGGGCTCACTAGGAGGTTAGGTGGGGGCCACACTGTGCACACATTCCTCCTCAGCAAGTTTGCCAAGCTCACCTGTGTTCCCGCTACAGCGATGATTCCAAGGGATTCTTGGGAATGCCCCTCCAATTCCGTCTACCCTATTTGAGACCAGGCAGTGATGGTGCACGCCTTAAATCCCAGCGCTTGGGAGGCAGAGGTAGGCGGATCTCTGTGAGTTCGAGGCCAGCCTGGTCTACAGAGTGAGTTTCGGGACAGCCGGGACTATGTGGAGAAACCCAGTCCTGAAAAACCAAAACCAACAACAATGACAACAAAAAGAAACAAAAACCCTCTGCCCTTTGTGAATCTATGACACTTTCCCTGGGCTTTTTGGGTTACTATGGGCTGAAGTTGCTCCGTAGAAATATAATGCAAGCCACACATAGAGTAGGTTGGATAACAAGCATCCAAAGATATCAAATATATCAGGTCCTACCCTCTAGCACCTTTAAATGGTAATTAAATTGTGGGAGATGGGGACAGACCTTTGCAGATGCAATTAAGGATGTCAGGGTGAGGAGGGTCACCCTGATTATTCATGATCCCATAGTTGCCTTCTCAAGTGGCCTTGTACCAGATGGACAGAAGGGATTGAGACTAGCATGAGAGGCGACGGGAGGGATGCAGTCACAAATTCAAGGACTCTGGGCAGCTCCCAAAAGCTCCATGAGGCAGGAAGTGGATCCTCCCCTCTAGCCTCCAAAAGCAACGTGTCCTAGCCGGATTTGGGAGACTGCGAGACAACGTATTCTGGTTGTTTAAAGTCACTGGGTTTGTGGTCATTTGATACAGATGAAATTAATTTTAATCATCTACTTTATTTAACCCGAGAGCTACAAAGCATCATCGTTTCAACACAGCACTGAGATAAAAGATTATGAGCAAGAGGGCTAATGAGAGGGCTCCACAGAGGGGAAAGGCCCTTGTTGCCAAGCCCTAAGCCTGAGGTTGGTCTTCGGTACTCGTGTGGTGGAGGAAAGAACTGATTCCCACAAATTGTCTTCTGACCCCCACACGCATATAGTGGCACAAAGTCCCCCATTCCACCTCACACAGCAAATAAACTTTTAATTATGACTACTACAGCTTACATCCTTCATGCTAAGCTAGTAACATCTAAATTGCCTTTTATTTTATCCCAAAGCTCTCTCAGTGTGGATTAACCCAAAAGCTGTACCTGACTGATGGCTGCCAGGTAGGATAGTGGAGCTCCGGTCTTTGGGAGACCAGCACCAGGCTGAGACTGAAACCTTTCCTCCTCGTACACAGTGAGCTCCTCGGAGTCGGCAATCTTGTCCCTTCGTTTCTGTATCCTGTGTCGTAATGCAAGATGCTCAGTAAGTGTGTTTGAGTGAATGGTGGAGTTCTCTGAGACCAGGGCGGTTACTCGGTCAGTGAAATGCCTGCCAAGAAAGCTCAAAGACCTGAGTTCAGCTTCTGACACCCACATAAAAAAACAGGGTGCATGGGATGGAGAGATGGCTCAGTGGTTAAGAGCATTGCCTGCTCTTCCAAAGGTCCTGAGTTCAATTCCCGGCAACCACATGGTGGCTCACAACCATCTGTAAAGAGGTCTGGTGCCCTCTTCCGGCCTGCAGACATGCACACAGTCAGAATATTGTATACATAATAAATAAATAAATATTTAAAAAAAAATCTTTAAAAAAAAAAAAAACAGGGTGCAAAGGCATGACCTTGTAATCCCAGTGCTGAGGGGCAATGACACAGGGATTCTTGAGGCTTGCTGGCCAGCTAGCCTGCACTAATTGGTCCCATTCAGAGACCCTGTCTCAAAAGTAAAAACAAACACGGGTAGATGGCTCCTCACGATAGACACCTGAAGTTGATCTCTCGCCCACACACACTCACACACACACACACATACTCAACACGCACACACACCACATACATATACATGCACAACTCTCTTACACACATGCATGCACACACATACACACACGCACACACACCACACACACACACGCACACAGACAAGCATGCACTCTCTCACACACACACTCACATACATGCACAACTCCCTCACACACGCGCATGCGCGCACATACACGCACACACCACACACATTCTCACACACGCACATACACTCTCTCACACACGTGTGTGCGCGCACACATACACACACACACACACACACACGCATGTTTGCTTTCTGTTACTGTAATAAAAGCACTCTGACCGAAAGCCACTCAGGGGAGGAAAGGGTTTGTTTCTTCTTACACGTCTGTCAGAAGGGAAGGCAGGGTAGGAACCTAAGTAGAAAACACGAAGGAATGTGCTTGCTGGCCGGCTCGCTGGCTTCCTCACAGGATACGCTTAGCTCATTTTCTTCTCCAGTAGCTCAGGACCACCTGCCCAAGAAGGGGCACCACCTATAGTGGACTGGGCCTTCCTACATCAATTAAGACAATATCTCATAGACTTGTTCATGAACCAACCTGATAAAGTCAATTATTACTCAGTTGAGACTTGTTTTCTCCACGTGATTCGAGGCTGTGTCAAGTTGACAGTCACTCACTCGGACACACCCAGGCAGAGACAAATATATAAATGCACACGAAATGGAGCTCCTACAACGAAGAAAAAAACTATCAGAAATAGCACTTTTTGCTTTTTTTTTTTTTTTTTTTTGGATTTTTCAAGACAGGGTTTCTCCGTAGCTTTTGGTTCCTGTCCTGGAACTAGCTCTGTAGACCAGGCTGGCCTCGAACTCACAGAGATCCACCTGCCTCTGCCTCCCGAGTGCTGGGATTAAAGGCGTGCGCCACCACCGCCCGGCGCACTTTTTGCTTTTTTACTTAATCAGTTTTCCCTCTTCTTTCCTGAGGAAAGTGAAGGAAACATGAAAAAAAAAAGGAAAGTTTTTGTTTTGTTTTTTAAATGTATCTTTAAACATTCTTCTGAGGGGATCCCTTCTCTTAGAAAGATTAATGCAGAGCCGAAGCCAGAAAAATAATGTAGTTGAGGCTGAAGAAAGAGATGCTACGAAGCAGGCTATGTCGATTCGTGCCTATAATCCCAGCTCTCTGGAGGCTGAGGCAGGAGGTTGTGGGTTTCAAGTCAACCTGGTCTGTGTAGTGAGACTCAGTTAAAGAAAGAACGAGGAGGGAGAGTGGAAACCATGCCAGTACTCCACCTCACTTTCAGAGGACAGCACAAGAGGGGTCCTTCTTGACTCCATTTATTAATCAGGCATTACCCTAATGTTAAAACCAAAGATATCATAAGCAGAAAACAGTGGCAGAACAAGAGCCCTCATGAGTGCCAAATCCTTCACCAAAATATCATCAAATCCAAAGAGAATCACCCCAGCATAACAAGAGATTCACCCCAGGTGTGCTGATGGAAGACCACCAGGGTAGCAGCGTGAGGAAGACAGTCCTACTGACACATATACAAAGACATGTCATCCCCTTCAGAATGCTACTTGTGTCCAACGCCGGGGGTGGGCAGAGGGACTGGGCAAGGTCTGCAGGGCCGCCAAAACTGAAATCAGGGTTCTGAGCCAGCTAAGCTGAAGGAAGCGGCTGCATGTGAAGCAGAGAGAAATTGCAGAGAGGAAAAAAAAATCAAACCAAGGGCTTCCTACATGCTGCTAGGCAAGCAATGTCTCAACTGAGCTACAGTCCAGGGCCATTTCTCCTCCGTGTAGCCCAACCCTTCCACCCAAAAGGCTCAGCAGTTGGTCCTCCCACCTGCCAACTAAGCCAAAGCCTACAGACTAAGGCTGCCTTGGCTTGCAGCTAGCCAGATTCTTCATACAAAGCTACACCTGTATTCACCAAGGCCGGCATCTGGGGGACCACAGGGATCCTTGAGGATTCCTTTCCATGCTGCTCCCAAGAAGAGAAGCCTTGGACCACTTTGGACCTTTTTGTGGCGGGCACACTGGCTCAACATGGTTCTGCAAAACCACAGGGCATCAGAAAGCAATCCAGAAAGCAGGCTGCAGAAGCTAATAGAGACGCTGGGCAGCCCACTCTCCAGATCAGCCTGCTGGTGTCTTCAAGCTGAAAACCTGCCCAATGGGGCCCTACCACTCATCCTGGCTGGACACTTGCTCACAAAGTCCTAAGGACCCCTGGCAGGGAGGGAGTTTTTGTCCTGGAGAAGGAAGGGGTGACTTCCGCCCTCCACCTAGCAGAGCTTCTTGGGAGAGTGAATCACAGAGCAGGGCAGCGAGCACTCTTGATAAAGCCCTCCAGGGCCTTTCAGCTTCCTCACTGGCGACAAAAGCCTCATTCCCAGGCTAGAGAGGTGGCCTTGTAACAGGACAGAAGGTTAGAAAAGACAACACGTGGGCCCAACAAGGGCATCCAGATCCACGGGATAGGTCTGGGGAAGGGTCTCTAGTAGAAGCTCCCTTTCTCACTGTTTCCGTCAACCCATTGTTTCCTCCTGCCACCGCAAGGTGAAAGGAAGCCCGCAGCATACCTTGGTCTGTGCATCCTCCTGACCACGTGGTACACGGGAAGGGCCAAGCTGGGAGCTTGGGGGCCCCCTACACACACCCTAACCGGCGCCTGCCAGGCCAGCCCGCCATTCAACTCCTCCCCACCCTACCCCCGCCCACCTCCGTAACACACACAGACCCCTCCCAGCCTGCGGCTGCCCCACCTGGACTGTTAGAACACCTCTGGGGCGGGGCCGGCCGCTGTCAAGGCCACGTGTAGGGCCTCAGGGGAGGAGGGAGACGGACGGACGGAGGGCGGGCTGTTCTTAAAGGCGGGTCCTGAGGTTTGCTGGCGCCTGCTGTCCTGACTTACCTGAGTTCAGCACAGTTTGATGCTGGGAGCCGTGTAAGTGAGTGCAGCGGGGGCCGTGAACAGGTAGGTGCCTTTACTCATTGGGGTGGGGGTGGGGGAGCTCAGTCCAGAGCCTAAATAGATCTAAGGCCTCAGCCGAGGTGCAGGGGTCTCGGTCTTGGCCTGGGGTCTTGGACACCTGATTAGCGCCTGGACAGACCCAGGCGTCCTGACTCCCAGGCAGAGCTCTGAGACTGGCGGGATTAGGAGACTGCCCGCTGTTCCGCAGGCCCTGCCTGCTGCCCCAGGTGAGGCTTCCTGGATCTTGGGGAGGCAAAGGACAATGAGGAGGTAGGTTCAAATGATAGGAATCCTGGGGTTGTGCTTTGGGGAGACTGGGATTTCATCCTCTTCTTTCCCTACCTGTGCTTATATGAGGGCCATGATAAGGAAGAAAGAGCTCAGCAAAGGAAGATCATAGGACTTTCCCAGTGCCCCAGGAGGTCCTTGCCCCAGAGTTTTGGGGAGGAGAAGAGAAAGAAACAGAGTTAGAATCTGAAGAGGAGAAGGTAGGAGGGAGCTGTAAATAGGGCAGAGCTAACTGGAATCCTTCCTAAGACACAGGCGTGTGTGTGTGTGTGTGTGTGTGTGTGTGTGTGTGTGTGTGTGTGTGCGCGCGCGCGCGCGCGCGCCCAGGCACTCCTTCCTAAGAGCTGAAAGGAACCAGCTAGAGAGGTGCACTGGGAGGACCTGGGCTGTGTAGCAACATCCCAGAGGAGCAGAGGAGCCTGTGTCTGGGACCAGGGGTAACTTGGGAAGGATAAATGAGAACCTGCTGAAGGGCTTCCTGTCCTCGGTGTCTCCTTGGATTCTCAGTACCAGTTGGTTCCAGAATCCCAAAAGGGGCCGTGGTAGGGGAGATCTTACGCCTGTGGGAAGAGCACAGGGTGATCGTGGAGGACTGTCAGAGGCAAGAATACCCACCATGTACACACACTTGTAGCCTGGGCAAGTCCCTCAGCCTTGCCAGTACTCCCCCCTCACAACTGTTGGGAAATAGAAGGAGTGTCAAGGGTCTTATTATCGGGTCACCATAAGATGGGAAAACCACTGCGATCTGTCTGGAGAGGCACAGGGACAGCCTCGGGATGAGCATGTGGGGAATCTCGAGTCCTGGTCGTGGGGGATACTCAGGTTCCAGTGCATTCTGCTCAGTGTCCCCAGCTTCCTCTGTAGGCCTGGCAGTGAACCCTGTAAGCTGCGCCTGCTCCCTGGACTCTTGGAGACTATGTGGGAAAGGCTGTGTCTTGCTTGGGCTCTGTGTCCTCAGCTGCCCCCAAGGAAGGAGCTCAGGCCAGCTCCCTTCCACTGCCATTTATAGATATGCTTCCCCACATGGCATCCCCACCCCTGGACCCAGCCAAGAAGTCAGATAACAAAAGCCATAGGAGCCTGGGGTGAGGAGCGAGGCCAGGCAGGATGCAGAGAGGCCAGGCTTTTTGTCATTCAGCATATCAGGGCCCCTCTCTGTGTCCCCTCTGCCTTTGAACTCCATGTGGCTGAAGGAGTTAAGATTACCAAGGTCCAAAGCCTAGATTTGAATCCCAGATCTGAACCCTCTATTGGTTCCTTTCAGGATTTTGTTGCTTATTCGGTTGGTTGATTGGGTGGGTGGATGGGTGGGTGGGGGATTGAGACAGGGTCTTATGTGTCTCCAGCTAGCTGTGGAGCTCCTCGTCCTCCTGCTTCTACCTCTCTCTCGCTTGGATCACAGGTGTGTACACCACACCCGATCCCTAAAACTTTATGGACTTTTGTGAGTCTGGGTATCTTCAGGGGCAGAATGGATGGAGGGCAGAGGCTCTGGCTGGAATGCCAAGTGCAGCTGTACACGGCATGTTGGCCAGTACCTGGCACCTGATGGGGGTGCTCTGTAGCTGGGAGCCCCTTACGAGGGTGTCATACTCCGTAAGCCCCAATTTCTAACTCATCTCCGGAACTGTCCAATGGTTTCCCATGCATCACCTTGTGGCTTCACGCTCTGACACCGGGAGGGAAGCAGCAAGGCTCAGTCAGGCTGCCAGAAGGACTAAGGTCAGCACGTTCTTGTCCCACCCAGTTTTCTCACTGGTCTGTCCTAGGACCTTTTACCTCCTCCCCTACACACCATCTGTGAGAAACAAGTATGTAGCATCAAGGTTAGACAACAGGAAGAACTTTTCACAGGAAGGAGATAGCAAGTTAGGGCATTTCTTTTTCTGCATGAGCCCCGGGGGGGGGGGGGTGACTGTCATCTGATCCTATCACTCCCCAGTGTCTCTCTCCTACCTCTTGAGTTTCAGCAGAGTCTAGCTAGCCCACCTGCCCCACCCTGCCCGTCCAGCAAAAGCACCTCTGTTTCCTGGATACCTTTGACTTCCCATCTGGCCGCTGGGCCTTTGCACATGCCACACGCCGCTTTGAACACTACCTTGCCTCCTCTTTCTTACCCACCATGCTTAGCTAGCTTCCTCTTTTCTGCTTCATACGTCTCCTTCCTTCTCCACAGAAGTCCTCCCTGGCCTTCTCAGCGGGGCCACGGGATCTCCTTCGTGTCCCCTCCCCCTATATCTCTGCTCTTTTCATTGCAAAATGGGACAATAGTGGTACCTACCTCATCCGGTTGTTACAGCAACTTGAAAGGGCTTTTTGTACGACTCTTGGAGCCTCTGAACTTAGTGCTTCCTCATACACATCAGCTCACATCTGTTTAGAAATACACGCACGACATGGTAAGTAAGTGATTGGCAATCATCCCTTTCAGTCACTTAACCGTCACTTGCATAGGCTTAGATCTACCAGACATTGTCCTAAGCATATGATTAATTCTAGCTCATTTGTCAAATGAAGGAACTAAGATGGGGGAAAAATTACTTCCTTTGTCCAAACTTACACAGTGAGTGTCAGAGCCAAGAAACCAACTGGGCCTTTAACTGAATGAGATGCTTTGTTCTTCACTAAGGACCCAGGCAAAGGCTTCACCTACAGATGGCACTCAGATCCCACCCTCCTCTTTCAGGTCCTTGGAACTCTTGGGAGCAGGATATAACTCTGGGGTAGAAGTGAGGCTGAACAGAAGAAGCCAGAGGTAAACCACTGGACTCACGGACGCATCATGTCCAGCTCCCTGATGGCTGGAGGTCATGTGGTCAGCTTGACTCCCCACGAAGAATCCAGGATGGCCCTGCACCCAAGCTCCAACCCCAGCCTCCCAGCACTGTGTCCCTACTACACCACAGAGAGCTGGGGAACCCAGCCTCTGATGGCCCCCACACTCTGCAAAGGCACCTCCAGCAGGTTCCAGCCTGCTCAGCAAGCAGAAGCCAAAGCTCACTGCCCCCTGCAGCACCCTAAGGAGCAGGCCTCAGGGACCTCACAGGACCTCGACTCCTGCATTGACTTCTCACTGGAGACCCTCAACCAGATGATCCTGGAACTAGACCCCACCTTCCAGTTGCTTCCCTCTGGGACTGCTGGTCCCCAGGCTGAGCAGGCCAGCAGCATCACTTCAAGGAGCAAGAAGGAGGAACCAGAAGCCTTAGGTAAGGATTTGGGAGCACAAGCAAGAAGGGAACTGGGAGACAGAACTCGAACGAATAGGGGCTCTTCTACGAAATTTGAGGGGCAGGGGTTCTTGTCCTGTGGGGAGTACAATGAGCCCTACACAAACTTCTGACTTTTCAGATTTCTCCACTGCACAAAAGGTATAAGTACAGATTTCCCTCACCAACCAACTCTGCCTGGTCCCTGAGTTTGGAAACTGGTAGACTCCAGTTTCAGGTGGTTTTTATGAGAACTCAGATGTGATAGTCCAGGTAAGCAGCTTCCACAATGAGGTGCACATAGTAGGAGCTTCCTAAATGCAGGGTCCCTGGACCTTACTTAAGCTCTTGATGTTTCTCTTTAGAGCCTAAGTTTGGTCCCCTAAAATTATTGTAGGATTTCTAGATGTCCCCCGATCCCTGCTTAGGGGAACATCTCTTGAGAAAGGCCCAAGATGGATAGGATGAGAGAGAGGCAGAACACAAGAAGTAGGATGCTGATTCCCTGTTTGGGAAACACAAGTCCCAGTCTGAAGCTTCTGCCCATTTCCACGGTGTAAATTCTCCCAATTCTGAGCTACTGACAGGACGTCACCCAGCATACGACTGAAAGTGAAGTAGTCCTGCTCTGTAGAACAGCACTACACATCAGAGGCCATAGTGGCGCACACCTGGACGCTCACTCAGCACGGAGGAGGGAGATCGTGAGTTCTAGGCTAGCCTGCACTACATAGCAAGGCCTTGTCTCCAAATTGGCGGGGAGGGAGTTTTTAAAGTAGGAGGGGTTTTTTTTTTAAAGCTGGGACTGTAAGTCAGTGATAACCTAAACTGCCCTCAGCACAAAAGAAATAAAATCTCACTGTACCAATACAATAACCATAAAATCTCAGAGCCTGCATTATAGTAAGATGTGTGGGTTTTGGGTGTGTCTGACCTTCCATATTACACACATATATTTTCATTTTTTTATTCTTTTAAATCTTCTGGAGACAAGAGTCTGTGTAGCCCAGCCTAGTTCTTACCACTCTACCTCCCCTCCTGAACACTGCAACTGGTCAGCTTTCGTTTTGAATGTAAGCTATTTCAGTATCAGTTTGCAGAATGCAGCTGTTAATAATGACCAAGTTCGGCAACCAGCTAGACATCATCAGAAGCCTGCAGTCTCCAGCTCGTAACAAGCTGGTACAAGCTGACACCAGCCACACAGCCAAGGGAATCTGGGAAGCCCTGGGTGCTGATTTGGTTCCCCACACTTGAAACATCTCGAGGGTATTCTGGGAGTGAGGGAGCAGCAGAGGCATCCATCAAGCAGATGGAAAGGTCAGGTCACCGGGGGTCAGATAGCAGGAATCGGGGGTCTACACAGAAGCCAGGCTAGCATCCACTTCCTGAGCATTTGCTGCCTGCTAGACCCTGTCTCTCTGCTAAGTGCCTTCTACAGGATCTCGTAGCCCAGGCTGACCTCAACATGCTAGGTAGCCCAGGATAACCTTAAATTTCTCATATCCTCCTGCCTCCTCTTCCCAAGCACTAGGATTACAGGTGTGTACCGCCGTGATTGACTTGTATGGAATTCTTCTATCCTACCCCACTGAGAGGAGGATTTGACTCCATTGTACAGATGAAAAACTAAGTTAACATGGGCTTGAATAAGGAACCTGTTTAGCCTGACCCCTGGGTTCAGGCTGACCTGATGCAAGCTATTGACGTCACCTCTATGTCTTTGATTCCTCATCTATAAAATGGACAAAATAAAGAGTTCCTACCTCCAAGAGTACAGGGATTAAGAGAAAGGATTTGTTGCCTGTTTGTCACAAGTCTTAGTGAGCCATGGTAGAGTGGGGGATTGCCTGTACAGCCAGCCCCAGGGCAGTTTAGATTCTGAGATAGAAGTCGGCACAACACCCAAGTCCTCTGGCACCCATCAGGGGATCCTGGCCCCCACTGCTTCCCCTCTTCCTGCCAAGCCTATTACAGGAGCTGTCTTCTCCTGCAGCCTTCTGCTGCTGAAGGCCAGTCATGGGCACAGCACTGCGGGGAAGTGCTTTAGACCTAATTACCGTTGGCAGGAGCCAGCCCAGGGTTTTAATGTTCATGCCCCAAGGCAGGGATTCCACACGGCCAAGACCAGTTGGGGCAAGATCAGTATTAGGAGTCCACATGTATAGGGTGGAGTGCAGGGTAGACAACAACCATCCCTTCCTCCGCTGAAGGCTTGGTGAAGAGCAGATGACTGTCAAGGCAGTGGTCCCTATCCTCAGATTGTCCAAGGACAGCCCGCCACCCAAAGCATGGGTCCATCCAACTCTGGGGAACAAAGAGTACAGAAAGATTGGCAGTGGCCAGAAGGTCCTTATTGCCCTCTGCCATGCCACTGCCGCCTCCTCCTCCTTTTTTTTTTTTTAAAAAAAAAAAAAGTCTTGCTCTTTAGTCCAGGCTAACCAGCAACCAGGCAGCCTCCTACCCCAGCCTCTTTCTAGAGTTCTGGACCACAGGCACCCTCATCTCCAACCCCTACTCACATACCTCAGAAATCCTTCCTCCTAAAACATCAGGGCGAGGTCAGCACCCCCTCAAGGGGCTGGTCTTCCCTTACCAAGAGTGGCAGATGCCACACCGCAGGCCCGCTATGCCCATCTCAACCTCCCCAAACCCTCCTGTGGGCCACTGTTGCTGGCGAGAAGGATTTCACGGTCCAGGACACTGCTGAGAATTCTGGGTGAGATCCCTTATATCTTCACATCCTCAGAGTGGATTCTATCCCCCCAACTCCCCCACACACCCTGGTGCCATCCCATCCATCCATCCTCCGAGGCACCCTGTCATCAGGAAGCAGCAGAGGCTTGCCTCCCTGCCTGGTAAAGCTGGGGACTTTACTAGACACAGCTGAATAGATTGTTCCTGGACATAAGCTTCTAGGATGCAGAGGCCCTGCAGCTGCCCTGAAGGAAATCACAGGGGTCTTTTTTATCGATGTGTTAGCTGAGGATGAGGAAGGAAGCCATGGTCCTACCAAGTGGCAGATCAGGCTGTTTCGAATCCTTAAATCCCTTGTTTCTGTCTGTCTCCTTAAACTGGAGTTTGTTTAGAGGAAGCCGACAGGCTTCTCCTCTGAAACGCACCCCGCCCGCCCCCCCCCCCCCCCGCACCTCTCTGAAACTCTGTAAGTGCTCCCCTTCCTTGCCTCCTGTTCCCCTCTCTTTATACTCATCCTTCAGAGTCACCACCCCAGAGGGATCCTGGCTCCTAGACCCAAACACCATCTCCCTTATCCTCTCTACGACCTCCCACCCCATCCTTGGATCAGGTCCCCACATTTCATTTTCCAGCAGTTTCTGCCAGGCAAGGCTGTTTGCCAGTCCCAAGGGCAGGCTGTTTAATAACTGTCTCTCCTCCCCCCACCCACATGCCCTCCCTTCACCGGCCAGGCCTGCGGCTGGCGCCTGCATCCACCCTACACTGCCGGGACTTGCCCCACAGACCCGTAAACAGCGGCTGCACCCCAGGGATGGGGTGGGAGCTTCCACCTCCCCAACCATATCCACCTCAGGACAAGGAGTGGGGGGTGAGTCACAGCACAGGCCCCTCCCACCCTGCTCAGCTCCCAGGCAAGGTCTTAGATATTTTTATGACCCATGAAGTTGTGGGCTAGGACCCTCACCAGGTCAGGAGACACACACCAGAGCAGACAAACGCCAGGAAGGCCTTAGAATGGGATCCCAAAGAGTTCCTCTTGTCCTAGAAGAGGCCACAAACACAGCTCAGGGGAAGAAATTGGGGCTTTCCACTCCTTTAGTTCTGTGGCATTGGACAACTCAGCCTAGCTGAACCTTGAGTTCTTATTGGTTACACAGGGATCAATAGCATTTTAATAGAGCTGCCGTAACAGGACAGGATATGCTATGTTGCATGCTAGCAATTGCCTGTCTTTGGCAAAAATGATGCAAGAAATCTCAACTCCTACTTCCACTTAATCTCCAACCCGTTACCTCCTCTGTAAAACCAATGTCTGGCCTACCCAAGGGTCATGCTGAGGGTTAGCGGTGGTTATGGGCATAAACGGTATAAAGTCTTTATAAAGATAGAAGCTAACCAGGTGGTGGTGGTGCACCTAGTGAGTTCTAGGACAGCCAGAACTGTTACACAGAGAAGCCCTGTCTCAAAAAAAATCAATCAATTAATAAATAAATACAAAAATAGAAGCTGAGGCAGAGGTGCAGCTCACTAAAAGGCCTTGCCTAGCATTCATGAAGCCCTGGGTTCTATCCCCAGTACTCCAGGTGACACATAAAAATAGATGCCGTGGCTTCTACCTGTGCTCACTGAGAAAGTAGAGACAAGATTATCAGAATCAGTTCAAGGCTATCCTGGGGTACGGAAAGAGTTTGGGGCTAGATTGTATCTCAAAAGGTTTTGGTTCGGTTTGGTTTTCAAGACAGGGTTTCTCTGTGTAACAGCCTTGGCTATCCTGGAACTCGGATTTGTAGAGCAGGCTGGCCTTGAACTCAGAGGGATCCATCTGCCTCTGCCTCCCAAGTGCTGGGATTAAAAGGGTGCATCATCAACACCATCCAACAATTTTTTTTAAGTGAAGGAAAGAAACTTGCTGGCCTCCTGAAAAAAAATCTATGTCACCCTCACAGCCCTCTGAGAGCCTACAGTGCAGTTCCCCGTGTCTCCCCTGTCACTCAATTCTCTTAAGCCAAAGATCCCCATTTCAGCTAGTGAGGGGCTCCCACTGAGGGGTTCCCAAGAGCAGTTGGTAGGGAAAGCTCTTTCCATGAGGAGTTCTGCAGCGAATCAGGTTCCATTCATCTGTTTGCTCCTCGGCACCACCCTAGAGGGCTGGGTCTAGATCTCCGCTTTGCAGATAAGGAAACTGAGGCCAAGAGAGGTCTGGAAAGTTACTCAGTGCCGCCTGGCTAGAAAGAGGTGACGTCAAGATTCCCGCCCAAGTTTGTGTGGCTACAAAGCCAGGCTGTCTCTGTATCCCCTGAACCAGCAAGCCCAAGTCAGCCCACCAGCCCTGTGCATCTGATAGAATGCCCACTTCCACCCAGGACCCCGGGTTCAGGCACCATGGGCTCATGGGAAGGGCAGGCTGGCCTCCAAAGCTCTGAACAGGGGAGGGATGAGCTGTTTTTAGTAAACTGAGTGCTCTCCAGGGCCCTACCCTAATTTCCAGCCTGGGAAACCATGGATAGGATTCATGACACTCTGTGGGGGGACAGCTTGTGCACCCCCAGTTTCCACCACCTTTGCCAAATAGTGCTCCACCCATCGATTCTCTCTGACTCCTGGCTCTCACCAATGCTTTCTTTCTCCCCCCTCCCAACAAAGATATAAAGTACATCGAAGTGACCTCTACCAGATCAAGATGCTTCGACGGTCCCCAACGCTGCTCCAGCCCTTGTGTCACTCCACCCTTTGGCTCCCCACGCAATGGCAGCCTCCTTTTCTCCAGAGACATTCCCCGAGAGACTCGAAGCAGCAGCGAGAGCCTCATCTTCTCTGGGAACCAGGGCAGGGGTCCCTCTCCCCACACCCCATCTTCCCTTAGCAGTTCCAGCTCTGGCCAGGAGAGCAGGGCCTCAGGCTCCCCGCTGGCCACTCCTCCAGGTTGGGAGAAAGGGCCACGGGCCCCACAGCGGGGCAGCAAGGTCTCTGTGTTGTCAGCCAGCTCCACTTCAGATGTCAGCTATGTATTTGGAAGGTAAGTTCATGACGTTGCATGGACACAGACACACACACAACATAAGGGCACTCTGTTCTGTGAGCAAAATGTACAGGCATCAAGAATAGAAGAATATACGTTGTCTGGGCAGTGGTGGTACACTCCTTTAATCCCAACACTTAGAAGGCAGGGGTACATGGATCTCTGTAAGTTCAAGGCCAGCCAGATTTACAGAGCTAGTTCCAAGACAGCCAGGGCTACACAGAGAAACCCTGTCTAGGAAAAGAAAAAAAAAGAATACATGTCTTTTCTACCATCATAGCCATTTCTATCTCAAATTCCCCTCAAAGCATTTAGATAATAATTCAGTGTCCTGAACTCATGGCTTCCACTGACCTTTTGAGAATAGAGTACTACATTGATGAGACCTGTCTTCTTCCCATCCCCCACATGACCCATCTGAAGGAAGGGTCATTAAAATTCTGGGGTGGGACCTGGAGAGGGAGCTCAATGGTTAAGAGCACTGCCTGCTCAGGCTTAGGACCCAGGCTCAGTTTCCCAGCCCCCACACCACAGCTCACAATCATCTGTTGCTCCGGTCCTGGGAGATCCAGTGCCCTCCTCTGACCCCCCACAATCACTTGTTCGCACACAGCACACAGGTGCACACACAGGCGAGACCCTCGCACACGTAAAATAAGTAATTATTGAAAAAATAATAAAAAAATCTCAGGAGTATAAACAGACTTAGGGGCCTGAGATGAAACAAGTAGGAATGAAAGCCCCTCCCCCCACTCCCTGTGCCACTGGCAAAACCAGGTAGGAGGCTTCAACCCCCTGGGCAGGGATCCCAGGTCACTGATCTTAGGCCTCCCAGTCGAATCGCACAACAGCCCATCCTGCTCCAGGATAACCAAACCACAAGACCTCAGTCCCACACACCAACTCCAAAGGCATTGGCCATGGTGGTCCCAGGCATAGGAACCAGGGATCCATCACCATGCTTGCTGGCCAAGCAGTGCTAGTTTCCTCCAGCTAGAGCCTTGCCCTGCGCCAGCCACAGGCATGTCCGGCCCAGGTACAGCGGCCTCTCTGCAGGCCTTTTGAGAGTGCTGGGGCATGGAGATCCTTCCTCCTGTGTGTGATGGTTCTGTCAGATCAGCCTGACTGGGAAAGCAGGGGAAACCCAGGCCAACATAACTGCTGGAGGTTAAACCCACCGGTCAGCTTAAGTGACAAAAAGTCCCCCGGTTCTAGGAAGGTTCTGTACCCTGCTGCACCCTTGAAATTCAGATGGGGTACTCTTTGCTCTGGGTTTGGGGTGAGAGTAAATGCAGTGCTCTATTTGACCCCAGATAGGGCCCCCAGATGGCTAGATTCCAGAACACAGCGCTGGTCCCCAGTCACCACCTGACACCCTAATATTCCATCTGCTTTCTTCTGCAGCAGCCAGTCCCTCCCACACTCAAGCCTCTCCAGTTATCAGTCGTCTTCGCGATCCTTGGCGAGTCCAGCCAGCTCCTCTTCCAGCCTCCACAGCCTGGACCGAGGGTCCCCATGTGTGAGACCTGGTGATGCCCAGGCTCCCAGCAACCCAATACCGAACATGGGCCAGCCCCAAGCAGCCTACTGTCCTCCAGTCGCCAAGGAGCAGGCCAGCAGTTGCCCCCCTTCTATCACCAACTCCATGGTGGACGTACCCATTGTGCTAATCAATGGGTGCCCAGAACCACAGTCTCCCCCAGCCCGGCAGACACCAGGACCCCAGGGCTCTGTCCAACCTCGGGCTGCATCTCCCAGCCACCCCTGTCGGGCTCTCGAGAGCCACAGCCAGACTCTGCCAGATGGTCCTGTGGCTGCATCTCCAGACGGTACGTTGTAATCCAACACCTTTAGCATCGGAGGATTTAGTTAAGAGGACTAGCCAAAGACCAAGGGGACTGGGCAACAGGCAGTTAACACTTTTATCAACTACCCACTTTTAATGACTACCGCAATGTTGGTGCACCAAGCATTGTGCCAGGGTGTGAGGATACACAGATGGGTACAGTCTAGAAAGAGTGACCCAACCCAAGACCTCCCGTAGAGTAGGATCCTCGCAAAGGAATAGACGCTTCATAGGTGACAGATGAAGGAGTGGATTAGGCAGCTTGGAGCCTGGAGGAGGTGACGCTGAAGCTAGCCAGCACCCAGAGGAAGGGATAAAAGGCATTCCTTGCAGGGATAGCTGTGACCTCATAGCTAGGGCAACGTGCCCGTACAGCACAGCGAGGAAACTTGTGGGATGTTAGGTGCAGGTCACTGGGAATAGTGGCAGATTGTGGCAGAGTGGCAGAGGCCAAACTAAAAAGTGGGTTGTACTCTTTTGACAACAAGGGCCATTTTACTCTTTAGACAATAAGAAACGGAAGCAGGGAAGAGGATGTGGGGTCAGCAGTGCAAACGCAATGGTTCACCATGGAAGCTGCCTGGCAGGAGGGTTGTGAGACTGGAACCAGGGCTGGGCAGCTGGGGTAAGGGAGGAAACAGAACCAGGCAACCCTGAGGCAATCTGAACAAGATGTGTGGTAACTAACTGGCTAACCCAAGGAGAGACAGAGAGTATATCAGTCCTCGCTCTGACGTTCATGGATGACAAGACCATACAGGGGCAAGCGGGGAATGGAACCAAGGCATTCCAACACAGATGGCTGAAAACCACAAAATAGCAAACACCCTTCTTCCCGGAGCCTGTGACTATAGGCATCCAAAGAACCCAAAGCAGTAAACACAAGTTCAGCTGGAGCACCCTTGGGGTACACACCTCCCATGAGCAGAGACCCAAGGACTTAGTCCCAGACTCTCCTCCCTCAGCTACAGGAGAAAATGGCGCCTCAGGCAGGCCTTTCAAACAGCAAACTCATCTACTACTGGGGGGAGGGGCATGTGTCACAAAGCACATGTGAAGCTCAAAGTATTTTTTTAAGTGGGTCGACTCCTTCCACCTTTATGTGAGTCCAGGGGATCAAACTCAGGTTGTCAGGCCCTCATGCCAAGAGGTATGACCCTCTGAGCCATCCTGCCAACTCTATTTCCAGCCTTCGTGATAGGGTTTAATTCTGTAGCCAAACTGGCTTTGACCCCAATGCAATCCTCCTGCCTCAGCTTCCCAACTTCTGGGATGACAGCCATGAACCACCACCTGGCTTTATGGGGTGTTAGGGATCGAACCCAAGGCTTCATGTGCGCTAGGCAAGCACTCTACCCACTGAGCCACGGCTCTGGTGGGGTTTTCCTCTTTAGGCTATTTAGAGAGACCCTAAAGGATCCCTGGGAAGAGGAGCAGGACAGGTCTCCAGCATTCTCCCCGGTTGTCTCTCAGCCACCCTCTACCCAGTTGACAGGGTGCCCTTCTCTGCCTGTCTCCAGGTGCTGTCAAGAGCATGCAGCCCACCATGAAGTTCGTGATGGACACATCCAAATACTGGTTTAAGCCAAGCATTACCCGAGAGCAAGGTAAGGCCAGCATTGTATTTTAGGGGACAAGTGTCCCCGTAACTATGTCTGGCGAGTACTATGCAGCAGGGAGATGGGACCTTGGGTCACGGTGGTTAGGAAGGTGGCAAATAGCAGCCCGTGGAAGGGTGGGTGACCTGCTGGCCTTATTAGGAATTAGGAAGTAAGCAAAACCTGCAGAAAGTAGACAGGAGCAAGGACTTCCTGGGGACAGAAAGTTGTGTGACTTCTCTGGGAGGACTCTGTGGGGAGGGGCAGAGAGAGTGTCTGTGTAGAGTGAATCAGCCTCTAATCAAACACTGTTCCAGCAATTGATCTGCTGAGGAAGGAGAAGCCAGGTGCTTTCGTCATCAGGGACAGTTCCTCCTACCGGGGCTCCTTTGGCCTTGCCCTGAAGGTACAGGAGACGCCAGCTTCTGCCCCAAACCGACCAGGTACGTACCTTTTGCTTGATCACCTCAGGTCCTCACTATGGTGGACTCTGTCCCAGTTTGACAGTGACAATCAGGATGACTCCCAGGAAGAGAGTCCTGGCTCTCCCAGCTGCCCTTCAACACCTAGGCACCATGAAGAGCATCTCTAAATGCCTGAGATGCCCTGCCTCCTCAAATTCCCTGTTCCACCCTTTAAGGATGGAGGAGGAGAAAGGTCCCAGCCTCTCCTCAAGCTGCTGTCTTCCAAGCACTTCTGTCTAGCCTGGATTTATCTCCAGGAGCCTAATATGACTAATGCATGTGTGGGCTTATCACACTCCCAATATCTTAACGTTCTTGTGATAACTCACCACGTGTTCAATAGCTCATCCTGCTGGGCGGTGCCTTTGATCCCAGCTCTCAGGAGGCAGAGGCAGGCGGATCTCTGTGAGTTCGAGGACAGCCTGGTCTACAGAGCGAGTTCTAGGACAGCCAGGGCTACACAGAAACTCTGTCTTGTTAAAAAAAAAAAACAAATAGCCCATCCTGCGTGAGAGAGCTAATCACATGTGTGTGATAGCGTGTTTGCTATCCTATGACCTCATGGGCTTATCTGGTAACTCAGCACACACATCTCTGAGGGGTCTACTGCATGCCAGACCCTGTGTAAGAACTAGGCATGTAGGGGACTCACTCCCCTGCAGAAACCACCTCATTGGGGAGTTCAGGTGAGAACAAAGAATGACCATGCCACAAGGTCCCAGGGTAACAGTTCCCTCACTTAAGCCTAAGGGTGAGTCTCAGGAAGTGAATGACACCCCCCAAAGAATTAAGACATAGAATGAGGATGGACTACCCAACCTTGGGTAGTTCGGGGGGGGGGGGGGGGGGAGGGTTGGGGGTTTGGCTCAGTGGTAGAGAGAGTCCTAATAGGGCTTACAGCCACAGCAGGGGTGAGGAGTGTGGGGGGGGGGGGGGGGGCGGGCAATCAGCCACCTCTGGGGAAGGTGTTGGTTTTCAAGGAAGCTTTTCAAAGAGCCTCCCACGAGCCCAAATGGAGGAGGAATCTGTGGTTGGTGAGGTCAAAGGGCACTCTGCTGCCTGTCAAAACCAGCCTTGTTCCTGCAGGGAGGAGCTGATGGGAAACAATGGCACCTGGGATGGGCTGAGCGAAGGCACTGCCACTTTGGAGCCCATGAACACGGGCTTCCTAGGTGCAGCCTCACAGGGAGGCAGAGGCTCCTGCGAACCTCAGAAGGATCTGGAAGAAGTGGACGGGGTCCTGCAGGCCAGGCTTTGGCTAACATGGAGCTCTGAAACAAAATCCTTTCTTCTTTGTCCAGGTGAGGACAGCACTGACCTTATACGTCACTTCCTGGTGGAGTCTTCAGCCAAAGGGGTGCATCTGAAAGGAGCAGATGAGGAGCCCTACTTTGGTAAGCCTCCCCAGCCTCTGCAGCCTCCAGGCCTCTCCAACCTCCCTAGTCTCTGCAGCCTCCCCAGCCTCCCCAGCCTCTACCCTCCCCAGCCTCCAGGCCTCCCCAACTTCCCTAGTCTCTGCAGCCTCCACAGCGTCCACAGCCTCCACAGCTTTCCTAGCCTCCCCAGACTCCCTCCCCTACCTCCCCAGCCTCCCCAGCCTCTACCCTCCCCAGCCTCCAGGCCTCCCCAACTTCCCTAGTCTCCGCAGCCTCCCCAGCCTCTCTCCCATCTCTCCCCAGCCTCCCTCCCATCTCTCCCCAGCCTCCCTCCCATCTCTCCCCAGCCTCCCTCCCATCTCTCCCCAGCCTCCCTCCCATCTCTCCCCAGCCTCTCTCCCATCTCTCCCCAGCCTCCCTCCCATCTCTCCCCAGCCTCCCTCCCATCTCTCCCCAGCCTCCCTCCCATCTCTCCCCAGCCTCCCTCCCATCTCTCCCCAGCCTCCCTACCCTTCACAGCCTCCCCAGCCTCTACTCTCCCCCCCCCTCCCTAGCTTCCCCAGACTCTGCAGCTTCCACCCTCCCCAGCCTCCACCTTCTCCAGCCTCCCCAGCCATCCCAGCCTCCACCCAGCCTCCAGGCCTCCAGGATATGGTCTCCAGCACTGTGAAGGGGGCTGGGAAAGCCCTATTTACTTACTCAGGGCTTCCTGCTTCTTTGCAGGGAGCCTCTCTGCCTTTGTGTGTCAACACTCCATCATGGCCCTGGCCCTGCCCTGCAAACTCACCATCCCACACAAAGGTAGGTGCTGGGTCAGCCCTGTGGGCTTTTACTAAAAGTGGCTACCGAAGTGGCCACTTCAACCTTGTTTATGACTTATTTTCGGGTCAGTATGACAAGTGCCTGATCTGGACTAGGTCCATGTCTCTCCATTTCCTGTTTATGTCTGCTCCTCTGAGCCCCCCAGTGCCCACCACACACACACACAAATAAGAACTTGTTTTTGTTTGTTTGTTAGGGTTTGGGTTTTTTTGTTGTTGTTGTTGTTGTTTTTGGTTTTTGTTTGTTTGTTTCGAGACAGGGTTTCTCTGTGTAGCCTTGGCTGTCCTGGAACTCACTTTGTAGACCAGGCTGGCCTCTACTCACAGAGATCCGCCTGCCTCTGCCTCCCGAGTGCTGGGATTAAAGGCATGTGCCACCCCTGCCCTTCAAGAACAACCATCTTTTAGACATACCCAAAGTGTCAGCATCCAGATTCAATGAGATTGTTCAGGCCAGGCATACACCACAGTGCCTGACCCAGAACAGACCTCAGAGCAGCGGTTCTTACCTGTGGGTCATGACCCCTGCAGGGGTGAGGATCAGATGAACCTTTCACAGGGGTTGCCTGCCAGTTATTTACATTATGATTTATTACAGTAACGAAATAGCAATGAAAATAATGTTATGGTTGGGGTCACCACAACATAAGAAACTGTATTAAAGGGTCACAGCATTAGGAAGGTGGCATTAGGTCACTGGCTTAGAAAGCAATCTAACAGTCTGGGTGAACAAATCTGGTATTATTCCCCCACACATACCGCCTCCACCACCCTTATAACCTATAGGTAAGCAATGAGGCTGTGGTCTTTCCCTGTAGCTCCAGCACTTGGGAGGCCGAGGCAAGGTGACCAGGGACTTGAGACTACACAGTGAGTTCCGGTCCAGTCAGCGCTATGTAATAAGACTGATAAAAAAAAAAAAAAAAGGCAGAAAGGAAAAGAGGAAAGGGTGGGGGAGGGTCCACAGGCCCACAGCTCAGTTCAGCAGCCTCAACCACAGCCTGCAGCCCCCTAGGAGCTCCCAGACCCAGGGGGTCATCTCAGTTGTGCAGGAGGAAGGTGGAGCAGGTGCAGGAAGAGCCCTAAACAAGTGATGAAGACACAGCACCCCTACTCTGCAAAGAAGAGGATGGGGGCGGGGTCCAAAAAAGAGGTCAGGGGCTTGTGGGGACAGGGTCAGAGCAGCAGACTTGGGAGCCTGGCGGGGAGAGGTGGGAAGGGATCAAAAGGCTCGCAAGCTAGGCAAAGTGGTCCTCGTGGCTCTAATTGAGGCAATCACACCTGGCTTCCCAGCCTGTCACTTCCTGGAGGTGGGGGCGGCTGTGGGAGGTGTTCAAAGGGATTCTTGCCGGCTGCTCCCCTGAGATCCACTCGCTCTTCCCTCCCCCCTGGGGCGCCTCTGTTCAGAACTGGGAGGCGCAGAACCAGCGCTGGACTCCCCCACGCATGGCCAGACCTCTTGCCTGAAGATATCAGCTGGTGAGTGGTATAGGGGAGGTACCGCGTTCACCGCACCCTGGAGACCACTTCCCAACCCCATGAACACACGCACACAAGCCCACACATGCTTCCCATTACTGCTTTGTTTCTGCAGCCTTAACAGCCCACGGCACACCCCCTCCTCGGCCTCATAAACCAAGGAGATGAGAGGCTGCTGCTGTGGGCCAGTGGGGAGGAAAGAGGACTGGGCCCAGGGGAGGGGGAGGGAGGCAGGGGAGGGTTCTGGTAAGCCAACACTTGTGTACATATTGTACACATATCTGTAATAGTGTCTCTCTGTGTTTGAGATTCCTGCCCTGGGGGTGGTCTCCAGGTCTGGATCCTCTGTTGGGGGGTTGGGGGGTGAGGTTTGAATTTTGAGGGTTTCAATGCTCCCTACTTCCAGAGGCCAAGCATCCATTAGCACTCAGTGGCGGCTCCTACTTTGTGACCACCTCCCCCTAAACACTGGCTCCCCTCCTGTTCTTTTTCTCTCTCCCTATTCCAAAGGGTGGGTGGGTGGATCATAGGTAGAGGAAAAGAAGTTCTGGTTACCCTCGGACTCCTAGTCTGTTTGGTGGCTCTCAGAGGGTCCCTCTGGATTCCTAAAGAAGAGAGGCATTCCCTCTGCCCTGTTCCTGTCCCTGGACCCGAGCCCAGCGATTGTAAGACCCTGGCTCCAGACCCCTCTCAATATCTGCATCCCATAGGCTGCCACACCCTGTACCTGAGCTCGGTGAGCGTGGAGACCCTGAGTGGAGCCCTGGCTGTGCAGAAGGCCATCTCAGTCACCTTGGAGAGGGATGTCCTCCCCACACCTACCGTGGTCCATTTCAAAGTCACTGAACAGGGCATCACTCTGACAGATGTCCAGAGAAAGTAAGGGACTCTCCTAGCTCCTGGGCTGCAAGCCTAACAGCAGCGCGGAGGGAAGGTGGGGGACAGAGGTCAGAGCCCCGGATGTGAAAGGACTAGCAAATGCTGGGTGATACCAGACAAGGTCCCTGCCTTCCCTAGGCCTCCATCTTTGGAAACAACAGGGTTTAAGTTAGGCAGTTTTCATTGCGTGATGTTTAAATCTGTGAATAGACCAGACACTAATGACTCCTCAGACCGTGCAATGAGCCCCAGGACTTGGAGACTCAGCCTAGCCAAAGCCTTCCCTAATTTGACCAGGCAAGAGTAGACCAAGCTGTAACTCCTGGCCTCACAAAATGAATGCCATGGGGGTGGGTGGCAGAAAACCCCAGTAGAAGAGCATGAGGCAGATCTATTCCATAGGAGGAGAAAGTGAGGGAGAAACCATGACGGGTTGTAAGAATCCTACTAGGACAGGATGTGTGAGCTTTGGGGGACCCAGAAATGCTGAAATGGGGGGGCATGGCGTAGGAATAGACCCTCATCAGCCTGACTTTTCTTCCTGCATCCACCCAGGTTGTTTTTCCGACGCCACTACCCACTTGCCACCCTCCGCTTCTGCGGAATGGACCCTGAGCAACGGAAGTAAGTTCAAGGCTGAGTTAAGCTAAGAAGGCCGCTCCAGGCCTAGCTGCCTTCCATGGTACCTGGATTGAAATAGCAGAGGTGGCCTGTGAACCCTAAGAGGTCGGGGATCAGGCCAGGTTGGGCATGGCAGAGTGGAGACATGACTCCCACTGTTCATTAGAGTCCTGAGGAGCCGGGCAGAGCCCCGTCACTCACTCCTGTTGTGTCCCTTTCTTTCAGGTGGCAAAAGTACTGCAAAGCTTCCAGGTAAGCCCCTCCCACCACTCAGTGGCTCTAAGAATTGGCCCTGTGCCGGGGTTCCAGACCTGACCAAAAGAGGGCAGGCCAGGTATGGCAGCACACACCTGTAATCCCAGAATTTAGGAGTCTGAGGCAGGAGGATTACTATGAATTCGGGGCCAGTTCCAGCTAGCCTCGTCTATGTAGTCAATTCCAGGCTATACATAATGAGACCCTATTGTAGGCAGAGGAGGTTTCTGTCCTGCCAGCCAGCTCCCAAATAACCACACAGAGACTTATTATTAACTGCAAATGCTCGGCCAATAGCTTAGGCTTGTTACTAACTAGCTCTCACAATTTAAATTAATCCATATTTATTAATTCACATGCTGCCACGTGGCTCATGGCTTGTTACCTCATTCTCTACACATCTTGCTTCCTCTGCCTCTGGCTGGCGACTCCACCCTTTTTCCCAGCATTCTCCCAGCTTGACTCTCCCACTTAACCTCTTCCTGCCTAGCTATTGGCCAGTGAGCTCTTTATTAAATCAATGAGAACAACATATCTTCACAGTGTACAAGAGGATTATTCCACATCTCAATAGAAATAAAGGAAGGAGGGGAGAGAGGGAGGGAGGGAGGGGGGAGGGAGGGAGGGGGGGAGGGAGGAAGGAAGGAAGGAAGGAAGGAAGGAAAGAATAGTGTTTCATCTTGGTCTTAGGAGCCAGTGTGGTATGGCTCTTATGAGATCCCCCAGTCTGGAGCCCGAGATATTATACCAGAGGCACAGGTTATATCTCAGAGCTGTAGGGATGATTATCAAGTACATTCTTGTCCTAATGGAGCTTCCCAGTCTTGTCCTCAGGAAGCCCCATTCAAAATGGAGACCTAGAGTCTGAAATAAGTGCTTGCCCAGTTGGACAAGGGAGGCACCTTCTTCCTTTAGCTGCCTCATTAATAGGAGGTACTGAAGTGCCGGGGAGGTGACCCAGTGAGGAAAGTGTCAGTCACCCAAGCATGAGGACATTAGGTCAGAGCCCCAGAACCCATATGAAAAGCCAACCGGTATATCTATAACTCCAGTGCTGGGGAGGCAGAGACAAGCGGATTCCTGGTGCTCATTGGCTGGCCAGCCTAGCCAATGGGTGAGCTCTAGATTCAGTGAGAAACCTTGTCTCAAAATTAGTAGAGAGCAATTGAGGAAGACATCTAACACCAACCTCCACACACATGCATGGATACATGCCATGTCCCCGCAAACAAGTACATACCACATGCACACAAGACGCAGTACACAAGATACTGCAGCCGGCTGGCTTGGGGAGAAGCAGTGAGGCGCAAGCTGAGTGTCCTCCCCTTCCAACACCCCCCTCAGCTTGATGCCTCTCCTCCCTAGCTCACATCCCCACAGACTGTCTTCTCTTACCAGGATCTTTGGGTTTGTGGCCAAGAGCCAGACGGAGACACAAGAGAACGTGTGTCACCTCTTCGCAGAGTACGAAGCAGTTCAGCCAGCTCTCCAGGTCATCAGCCTGGTGACTGCTCTGATCCAGGATGCAGACAGGGTATAGGAGAAGGGAAGCTGCCTATGGACCTTCCCTGACATCTCAAGAGACTTTCCCTGGCCATGCCGCTGTGGTCACATCGACAGACCTGACTGTCAGACCTGAGGACAGAGCAAGTTGAAGCTTTTGAGCCTGCTGTGACATTCAGCAGTAACCTTCACCCAATTCTTGGGCCTCAGGCTCTTCAATTATATATAAAGAGACCCATCCGCAAGAAAAACGGTCCCTTGGAGACTCAGCTGGGAATCTTCAGTGTGTTTCTCCATGCTGCTGAAGCCCACCCACACCCAAGACTCCCTGTGTAAAAATTGCCTGCAACGACGCTCTGGCTTCGTCAGCTTGAACTCTCCCCACGTGGCAGATTGAGCCAGAGACCTATGACCCCTGCAAACAGCAAAGAGCAGGTGCTGGCTCCCTGGCTGGAGGCTCCCTGGCTGGAGGCTGGTGATGGTGGGTGCAGTTTGGGGACAGGTTCGATTTCCCTCACACCTGTCCCTTCCCTGCTGGCCCAGGATTCTTTTGTTTTCAAGAGATGAAAAGGTTTGGGGGTTGTGAATGTAACTCAGTTGCTAGAGGGTTTGCCTGACAAGGACAAGGGCCGTGGTGAGTGCTGAAAATCCCAGCACTTGAAGGGGCAGGAAGATCAGAGGTTCGGGGTCATTCTTAGCTACATAATGAATTTAGGTCAGTCTATGCTACATGAGACCTTGTTGAGGGAAAGAGAAAGAAGGAGAGAGAGAGAGAGAGAGAGAGAGAGAGAGAGAGGGAGAAAGAGGGAGAGAGGAGAGAGAGATTAAAGTTTTCACAGATCTCACCGATGAGCCTCACAGCCTTCACCTGCAAAGACCACACTCCCAATTCGGGTCTGGGGGGTACCACTCCAAGAAGGAGCTGCTGTGGGAAGAGGGTTTCAAAATGGGCAGGTGCCTGCAAGGTCCAAAATCTATGATGGAGAGGAGACAGGGTCAAGAGCCTCAGCCAGAGCAGACCTGTCAGCACAGTGCGTGTACCCTATAACGCAACCCATTTCAGCATGCTTTGGGGGACCCATCAAATGCTGTCAGAGTCGAGTCTGAGCACAGAACGGGAGTGAGTTTTCATACCCCCTCGCTTCTTCCGCTTTGCGATCAAGGTTCTGTCAGCGTCGCCTTCTCTAATGCAGTATTTAAAACGTTCTCACATCTGGAGATCTGGGCGTTGCAGTCTGATCAACTCCTAGCCATCTGGTGGAACTTTCTGGATTCCTCTGATTTTAGGTATCATTTGCCAAGGCCTTGGGATCTTTTCCCCAAGAGCAGGCTAGGAAAGTCCCTGGCCACTGCAGTTACAAACGTGGGCTATTGTCTCTAGTTGGTCAACTGCTCTGTGAGGTTGGCCCAGGATTCTGAAGGCTAGCTTGGCTGTGCCTGTGGGGCTAGCTTAGTAGAAGACCCTTGTCCCCACGGTCAGTAAAGTCTCCGCAGTGCTCACATTCTTAATGTCTAATCCGTCCTTCCCAATATATTACAGATGAATATCACCCCCGCCCCCCATCTTTGCTTTCAATTTCTTGATAAGCACGTGCCCCAAAAGAGGTATCACAGCTGCCTGGCATTGCTCTCATAACCTACATCTGGTGGATGGGAAAGAGAGACCCTGTTGCTATAGTACAGATAGAGGTGCATTTCCCTGCCCCAACTCCATTCTTGCTGGGTTCTCCAGTTCCAACACACACACACACTATGTGGGAGTCACCAGCCTTACAAACACAAGGGGGCAGCAGAGAGTCAAGAATACAAAGAGGCAGCGTCTAGAGCTGGTTGAAGAAGTTGGGCTCTTTCCCTCCCACATTCAAGACCGGCCTGCAAAAACTGTTGCACTTCTTCCAGCCTGCTGGCCTCCTTAGGAGACTATGCCATGGCATGCAAGGAGACGCTCACAGAAGCCCGCTGTAACTCAGTGTGGAGCAAGTGTCTATCCCCTCCTGTCGTCAGCCTACAGGGCACCATTGTCCTTGGCCAAGGTCAGATCTGAGGGATTATGACTTCAACTCAGGAAAAGCAAATCAGATGGGGAATGTAGGGGTGGAGTGGGGAGGATGCTAGGCTCGCATTGCAGGCTAAGACTGGCCCTTCCAGCATTAGATCGGGCTCGTTCCACCCATTCTAGGCTTAGTGGGAAGAGTCCTCCATACATCCTGTGTACTTCGTGGAAAATAAAGTTTCTTTGTACAATAGCCGGTGCTGGACATCCAGAGCTATCTCCTGAGTGCTGAGCAGAGAAGGGCACACAGCAGAACAGAGTGTGACCATATGTCTGCATTGCCCACCGAGGCCAGAAGAGGGTGCTGAAACTCCCCTGGAGTTAGATGGTTGTGAGCCACTGTGTAGTGCTGGAAATTGAACCCAGGTCCTCTTGAAGAGCAGTCAGTGCTCCTAATCACTGACTGAGTTGTCTCTCTAGCCTCCAGGGTAGTGGGTTTTTTTTCTGTTTTTGTGGTCATTGTTAGCATGTGTACACGCATGCCATCGTGTATGTATGGAGGTCAGAGGACAATCTTAGATGTCCATCCCCACCTCCTACCTTGTTTGAGACAAGATCTGTTGTTCATGGTTTGAAGTAATATGGGGCGGCGAGGCTGCGTCCCCCACACCCGGCCGCCCACATGGCTAGCTTATGCTCCGAAATAACAACACACAAACTGTATTCTTTTAATCACTGCTTGGCCCATTCTCTTCTAGGCTAATTCTCACATATTAATTTAGCCCATTCCTAATCATCTGTGTGTAGCACCCCAAGGTGCGCTTACCGGGGAGATTCTAGCCTAGTCCATCCTGGGTCCGAGCTTCATCACGTGTGTCTGCCAGGGAGCAGGGCATGGCGTCTCTGCTGAGGCGTCTGCTCCGGAGAGCAGAGCTGTCGAGACTCTGACCTCACTTCCTCTTCCTCCCAGCGTTCTGTTCTGTTTACTCCTCCCACCTGTCCTCTAACCAATAAAATGGGCCAGGGCAGTGCCTTTATTAGCCAATGACTTTCCTCCATCAATGGTTGTGCACACCAAGCTAACTGTTCTGGAGCTTCCAGAGATCCCCTAGTCTTTGCTTTCTCATCTCCCCAAGGCATGCTGGGATTCCAGATATGTACTACTACTGTGTCTGTCTTTGTGTGGATTCTGGGAATCCAGATTCTAGTCTTCAATGTTACATAATGAGGGCTTTACCGACTAAGCCATCTCCCCAGCCCTGTTATTGTTTAATTTTATTTTGTTTTGGAGATAGGGTCTCACTCTATTGACCAGGATGGTCTGAAACTCATGGCAGTCTTCGTGCCTCAGCTTTCTTGTGCTAGGATGGAAGGGCATGAGCCATCACACCCAGCTGCGAGAAACCACTTTTTCATGACAGGTTTTCTCTTTGTGACTCTGGCTGTCCTGGAACTCTGTAGACCAGGCTGGCCTCAAACTCATAGAGATCCATCTGCCTCTGCCTCTGGAGGGCTGGAGAGCTGGGATTAAAGGCATACGTCACCACCACCCTTCAAGAAATCACCTTTTACTGAAGGGCTCCTATGTGTTCATTGCCATGAGGAGTGAGTTTTATGTTTAATCCCATTCTTCAGATTAGGAAACTGAGGCTTGGAGGTCACTTGTTGGGCAGGTGAACAAACATATGCATGAAACACAAAAGTAAGTGTGGAAAGATGTGGTATATTCCATGTGTCTGCCTAAAAAGTTCCCCAAGAACAGATGAAAGAGATATCAGGGCCACCAGAACTTTCAGCGTGTGATCAAAAAAATCTAGAAAATTATTTTTTTCCCCCTTTTAAAAAATGACTCGACAATTAAGAACACTGTGTACTCTTACAGAAGACCCAAATCAGCAGCTTACAACCACAAATAAGTCCAGTCCCAGGGCATCTGACACCCTCTTCGGGCCTCCATAGGCACCAGGCATGCATGCAGTACACTTACACACACGGGCCAAAAAAAAAAAAAAAAAAAAGTAATTGCACTTGATGGAAAAACCTTTTAATGTCTCCCTATTACCTCTAGGGTGAAGTCCAAGAGCGTGGCTGTGATGCCTGTACATTGCACAACCTTTTGACCAGCACACAGTGGTCCTGAGGCTAACCTCATTTTTTTGTTTTTTTTAAGATTTACTATGTGTTCTGTGCTTTAGAAGCATGGCTGTGGGGCAGGAGACAGGATCTGAGGCCCGGGCTGGGAGGAGTGTGAGCTGGTAATGGATCTGTGTGAACTTGGAGTTCAGAGCAGGACAAAGAAACGCCTAGAAGAAACTCTCTGGCCTTGCTTGGTCTGGGCCTAGGTTCCTGGTTCTCCGTGAATTTAGGATGACCATGTGGGAAAAGCCAGACTGGGGGCCCTGTCACCTTCAGTGCAGGTTACTAGGACAAATAACCACGTTGAGAGGCCTCAGCCCTTAGATACTGCCTTCCGTTAACCCTGGAAGCAAGATGCAGAGGTCAGGGTACAGGATGAAGGATGACCAGGCTCCGCCGGACGCCCCATCCCCCTGCCTCACTGATGGCCACCTCCTCACCGGATGCTCACATAGGTCATTACAGGGAGGGGGAAGAATTCACATTTCTTAGAAAGCATTAGTCCCGCCGGGTAGCACACACGGTTCAGTGGGTAAAACACTGGGGGAGGAAGAAGCAGGAGGATCAATGCCAGCTCATAGCCAGCTAGCCTACCGGGGCTACAGAGTGAGACCCTGTCTCGCCAAGCAAAGGTTAAAAACCACTGTGTGCTGAGCTGTAGTGTAAGGAGTGAAGACATGGGGACCCTGGGGACAGCCCCTGTCTGTCTCCAGCCTCAAGCTGCTGGGAACATTCAAAAAGCCCACCCCTTCTATTTCTACTTGCAAACTGGTACCTCTCCCCCTCAGCCACTCCAGGGACCCTTCAGACATCGGGTCTGACTCCCTAGGGAAGCACACTCCCGCCACCACCACTGCTGCAACTGTCCTTGAGACTCAGCAGGGCCAGGACAGGAGGAGGACAAGAATCCCCTGGTCCTACTGTCTTTGCCCCCACCTGTCTGCTTTTGCTCAGCTGTCTCCTTCATTGTTCATTTATTCACTCAGCAAACACTCTACTGTGTGCCAGGCTCAGGAGAGCCAAAGGGAAACAAATAAGAACATGTGTGTTTTAGGTAACCAGAGAAGCAAATGTTCCGGAAAAGCCCAGTGAACGAAACACACACACGTTAAATAGGAAGGTGGAAGAGCCGTGCGGGCACAGTGGCTGATGCCGAGAACCAGCACTCAGGAGTCCAAAGGAAGAGGAGTATCACTAGTTCAGGGCCAGCCTGGGCTACCTAGGAAGTTCCAGACCAGCCTGAGCTACAGAGTGAGACCTTGTCAAAGGAGGAAAGGAAGGGAAAAGAAGGAAGGAACAAAATAAAGAGAAAAGGAATAAAATGAAAGTGGGGGGAGGCTATAAATAGGACGGCAGAGGGGGACGGCAGAGGAGCTGCCGAAGGACGTAACACTGGACTGAAGGTTGAAAAGTCAACCTTGTAAAGAAGGGATTCGGGCTGAGGGAACAGCAAGTGCGAAGGTCCTGAGGCTGGCATGGGTGATGGTAAAGACGCACCCGGAGGAGGCTCCTGAGGCTGTAAAACAGGGTCCTTCCACTGCCCTCCCTGCCCCAGAGCCCAGTGTACCAGAGCAGGATCAATCCCTAGGTTTGTGACCCCAGACACCTCGCAGGTCCTCACATATCCACGCCTTTCACACGGGGTCACGGCTCCTCTTCAGCAGTGACATGCCTCTCCTTCCATCTCCCCACGTGACTCCTCCTGACAGCGCTGCCTTCCCGATGTGAGTGTCCCTGTCTATCCAGGTGCCCAAAGATCCCCTCTCCAGCCACCATCTGCCCTCACTGCTTCTGCCACCAGCTTATCTGTGGCTCAGACAAGCAGGTGTCTATGCCTATCTCTGCCCCACCCCCACCCATCTTCATACTGGCTCATTTTAGCTACCAAACAAGACTGCTCATACAGGCTGCTGCTCCCAGTCCTGCTCTTTTTGGCTACCAAGTCAGACAGAGCTGGCCCTGCTCCGTCTGCCCACACTTGGCTCTCTCTTGTCGGATGTGACACTTCCCTGCTCTCCCCGAAGTTGCCAGTGTCCTCACAACAAGTTCATCATCTGTACAGATTAGGATTAGAAGTGACCCTGCCTCAGCCTGCGTGGTCTTTTTCCTTCTTAGAGCCCCAAGAAAAATCTCCATGTTTTTCTACAAGGGCCCTTTGCATTCTGGGAGCAGTCTTGCCTTCCCGCTCATTTTCGGTATTTTCAAGGCCATAATTTATAGAGATTTTTATTTGTTTGTTTTTGTTTTTCCAGCTAAGATCTCACTATGTAGCTCTGGCTATCCTGGAACCTGCTATGTAGACCAGGCTGGCCTTGAACTCACAGAGATCCACCTGCCTCTGCCTCCTGAGTCCTGGGACTAAAGGCGTCCGCCACTATATAAACCCCTCTGTGCCTGGCATTTAGCATTCACCAGCTTCTAAACTTACTCTTTCTTTTGGGGACAAGCAGCTGGGGCAGCCTGCAGAGGCTCCTATAGACCCCACTCTAGGATTCTTGAGAAAAAGGGGGGTCACAGACCCAGGGAGCACAGGTTCCAGTTGGCCTGGCCTGACCCCTGGCACAGCCACAAACCAGGCCAGGATCTCTAAGCAGTCGCATGTCACATTGAATGAGAAGCCTTCAGCTATGGCTGAGAAATGAAGTCGGAAAACAGCTCGGCGAAAAGCGATTGAACTCTCTCTTTATTAAAAACAAAACGAAAACAATAAAAAACAACAAAAAAACACCCTATTGTCCAACTAACCTTCGACAGTGCTGGGAAAATTGCACTGATTTCCTGAACAGTCTGGTCTAATTTCCCCTGGGTGGAGAAAGGCTCGTTTTCCCTTCCCTCTGAATTCCTCTGGTTTGGAAATTCTAGTTCAAACACCAGGAGGAAGAGGAGGAAGCAACCCAAAGTTCCCCCAGCTAGCCCCATCTGCCAGCACCTAAGCTTGCCTTGGGCAGCCCCCTGCAGCTGCTGTGGGCCCAGGCAGCTGTTTTACAACTTCATCTCATTCTTTCAGCAACCTGAGTGCACTGAGCAGCTTGGCTTAGCTTGTCCACACCCAGCTGGGTCACCTCAGACTCAAGGTCCCATGGGCAAGCAGATAGACAGAGCCACAACTCTGCAATG